ATCATTCCAGTTTTGATAAATGGTGTCGCACATTATACGATTGTTCTAGTCTTGTAAAGCAGTTAGTAAAGATGGCATTACTGAGAGCAGAAGGCTGACTTTTGTATCTCCTTAAAAATATTTAATGGAATATAAAATATCTATTTCAGGAGACAACAGTCTTTACAACCTGACTGTCGTGTATAGAACCTATGACTAGTGTTGATTACCATCACCACTGTCTTTACTACTCTTTAACCTCTCCTCTTTATTTCTCTTGAGCTGTTTGGTACAGTCTGGTTTTTGATGAGAGGCGATTTTCCCCCTGGGCAGTCCTGGATGAATCATTCCGGCAGCAGCCCAGAACTCTTCTTCTACACACTGGGAATCAGGAATGCGAGCGCCTTGACTTTTCTGTGCAGGTCAGAATAAATCCTTTTGACACAACATACTCAACATAATAAGTTTTGCTTGGTGTGAATCTATAAAAGCAAAACCACCATTTGTATAAACAGGACATAACAGATTACAGGCGGCCTATAGTGGTTGCTGTGGAGGCAGGACTTCAGAGCCAGGTCAAAGGGCCGGTGTTGGACCCAGACTGGCCAACCACCTTACGAACTGAGGTGAATGTCCGATACATTTGTGTAATGTGTGTGTTTGTGCTGTGCTGTGAAAAAGTATTTTCTCCTTTACAGATTTCTTGAATTTATTTTTGTCATCCCGAAATATTTTAGATAAGAAACTTCTGGAAGAGAATGTCTGACCATCAGTTTATGATGCTTTAAGTATTCTTAGGTTATGTGATCCACGTCACACCAGCAAGTCTATCACTGGATGACTCCAAAATTTTAAATGAGCAGAAGTTTTGGAGTTTTCTAGTCAAAACTTTTTAAATGCAATATATAATGTTGCATGACCTTAAGCAGGATTTTCATTCTCAATGCAACCTATATTGTTTTCTTAGAGGACTTTTCACCAATTTGAATAATATAATAAACTGAACTTGATTGCATTGTTTTGTACTCGTACTCGTTTGCCATCTGTTTATCCGGAACCGGGTCCCGGTGGATCAGCCCTGCCGTGGTCCAACTTGCACCAGGAACAGTCCCCTAATAAAGGACCCTTATCTCCATACTGCTGGAGACCCCCTATAGGTGCCCATATAGGACACGATCAAAAATCTTCGGCAAAACTGCCATGATCCTCTGGAAGCTGAGGCTCCACTATCAGCTCAGCTCTCATCTCCTGTACCCGAAGGATCCCTCCCTCTATAGTTAGACACAGCGTCCAATCCCTCTTTTTTATAAAGGGAGACCTCCAACCTGTTCTGCCAATCCAAGGCAGAACAAGTTCCCAAGCGCCACACAATGTTAAAGAGGCACATCATCCACAACAGCCGGATCTCACCCACCCCTGAGGCTCTGACACTGTGCTAGATAGCGTGGCTAAATAAATAAATAAATTAAATAATTTAAAATCTGTGTTTACCCAGATAATCTTTGTTACATTTTAAAATATAATTGATGTTCCTAAACATTCAAATCTGTTTTACAGAAAAGTAAAACAGAATCTGAAGGTGGGTAAAGCTTTTCCACAGCACTTTCTTACCAAGAAATGTAATTTGTTATTGGGTATGTTAATTCTAATTTTTTTTGTATCTTTATTCTTGCTTATGTGAAGTGTTCTTGAGCCTAATTATTATATTTGTTGTTTTATTATTTCCGATGGTTGTGTGCTTTGTTATTTCTCATATTAGATATTGTATGTAATGTTTATCATTATTATTCCTGCAGCTTCCATTCTGGAATGGATGTGAGGAGGATACCTGTACTCCTGACCTCATCCTTCACAGTCGCACCGACCTGTTAAATGTTCTGTGTGTAGTTAAGCCTGTTTTCAAAATGTAAACATACATCAAGATCTATTGGAAAATAATATGCATTTGTTTCACCTGAAGGCAGTTCTGCAGCACAAGGAAACATGCCACCTCCTCACTCTGCAGCCATCGGAAGGGACATGAAGAGAAAATGTTTGTGGTTGAGACTGGACGGAGGAAGATGATTGTGTTTGCTGAGCTTCAGAACCAAGGGGAGAATGCATTCAGAACTTCACTTGACATCTCTACAACCCCTAACCTTCTCTTCTCAAGTCTCTTAGTCAAGGTACTCAAATGTGTTTCTGTGTATTGGAATTGAAAGTGACTGTGTTTCAAAATGACATGCATCCTGTCCCACAGGACCAATCAGATATCCAGATTGAGTGTTCCACTGAGAATAGGACGGCCTCCCAGAGAAGCTGTAACATCAGTGCTCCATTCATGAGGTCATTGTCGCAGGTGGGTTAAATATACTACTGGGAAATCTACTGGGAAACTTGACATGGCATGGCTGCATTATATAATTAAAATAAATCTTACACTAGCCGGACATCTGCTTAATTTACTGAGCTTATGTTAGCTTCCCCTGCCTGCTAGAGTCAAGACAGTCGATCCTTGTTTTGTAGAAGCATGTTACGGTAATAGGTGCTTTGTGAGATTCACATAGTGTATAACTTAAATAGAACTTGTAAAGTTTTATTTATATAAATTTAACTCATTTTTTTATGGAATTTGAATTGAATTTATATTTAAAAAAAACTTTTTCACTGGGGCATAAATTACATTCCATATATTCATGTCTTATTTATTCGAGAGAGATTTACTTTGACTTAAAAAACGCTGCCTTCCATCATCTGGGTTCTCCATGACTGTCTCTGTCTGCTTTGCTTATCTGCTCTAATCATGGATCATGTTCAAAAGCATCAGCTCTAAGAGTCAGTAGATTTGTTAGCAGTTTATTACTAATTAATTTTTCTCATGTTAAATAAACATCAAATACCTGCTTTCTTAACAGGACAAATATGTACAATTATGCAGGTATAGTGCTTCTCATAAAAACAAAACGTAAAAGGATTTGTTGCAAAACATTCATATCACCAAGTTAAACTAAAATATGAGGCTACATTTTATAAAACACAAAGAGCCTTTTGGAAGTGAAAGTGACAGCTCTTATTGCCACAAAAGCTGAAAAGAGCCAAACTTCCCATTACCATCAGCTGCTATACAGTAAAACTAAACACCCATCAGCCTTAGTATTTTGTCCAGGTGCCAAATATTAGGTCAGATAAAAGGTGAAATATATTTGCAAAAGATACAGATTAGCATCTGCATACTAGCTATTATCTAAGTCACCTTCACAGGTTGGCTAAGCAAGCGTCCGTAAGGGAGACTGGACGATGGGCTGTGCAGGTTTGTCACTTTGACCGGCGGAGGCACTGCATTCAGGAAGGAAGTAAGGCAACAAAATGTAGTTGAGGTGGGTTTATTTGGGAGCTCCAGGTCACCATTACATCGACACCCTTCACACAGTGAAGCAAAAAAGCTGACATTCATACCTGAGGAAAGTATGAATGCCTCCAACACTTAACCAGGTAAAGGGGTGTTCAAAAAAAAAAAAGATAAACAAGAAACAAACACTACTTACACAAACCTAGCAAACAATAAATGAT